TATATTATATCATCACTTTTAAGTGATATTAGTAACAAGACTTATGTTCAAAATACATTGTAGGGCGATGAATTGAGAATAACAAATTGCAGGTACTGTAGCGGCAATTTACTGGTATATAGCAATGCTATATCAATAATTGGCACGTAGTGTAACGTTTCAATATATATATATATATATATATATATATATATATATATATATATATATATATATATATATATATATATATATATATATATATATATATATATATATATATATATATATATATATATATATATATATATATATATATATATATATATATATAATAGTATAATATTTAGGAGTTATATATTTGAGTTAATTGGATAATTTAAGTTAATTTCAATGCCGATAGAGTTGTCAATATAGTTGTTAGAGTTGTCAATAAAGTTGTCAGAGTTGTTTTGAGTTATTAAGAGTCATATTTTTATTTGTTTTGCGTAATTCTGACATGTTTAGAGTTGTCAGTAGGGTAAATCAGAGTTCCAAATAATAATAATAATTTAGCATATACTATAACAAATTGATAGAATTAGAACCAATTAGCATATACCGTAGTTGTGTATAACGATAGTGTATAAAAAGTTGGAGTTTCCAATTAATATATATGTTACAGTGCAATATGTTCAATATAATGCATAGTTTCATTAATTACACTGCAGCGACCCTCTAGTAATGCATATATTGCAACAGGAGACATATAGATTATTCATTATCAGAATATATATATATATATATATATATATATATATATATATATATATATATATATATATATATATATATATATATATATATATATATATATATATATAATTAGTATAATAATGATTATAATAATATTGATAATAATAACAATTAATAATAATTTAGCATTATTAGTATAATAATATTGTAGAAGTTTTGTAAGTAGAAATAATAGAACTTTTAGCCGATAATTAATTAATCAAAAATAGTCGTAATAGTCCGAATAATTACGCGGTTTATTTGTAGTAAATTTTGATTGACTCGTTGTATTGTGTTCTTTGTTGAAAAAAGTGAATTAGCAGGTAATGTTATTGCCTCTATTTATGAGCAAAATATTAAGTTGTAGGCTTATGGTCATTGTTGGTTTGTTGTTGCGTTGCTATAGAATTTTGTTGTTGCTATCCTGACATTCATATTGGGTCGCATACATAGCATATCAAGTTAGAGCTGATGCTCGATAAGTTGACTTGTATTAGAAAATTAAGTTGAAGGCTTATGCCTTGTTGATGCCTCTATTAATTGGCAGATTTCTAAGTTAGGAGTTTTGCTCCATTGGTACCACATGCATGTGCATTGTAACGAGTTGCATTTCGTGTTACATATTTAACATTGTATTGTTGACTTTTGATGATTGATGTTTGTTGAAAGTTGTGAAGTGATAATGTTATATAATATGATCTAATAACTTGTTTATCACACACTCAATTATATGGTTTGATATCTCATCCCTTCTGTTTGAATGTTGCCCTCTGTTGGTAACATGCAGGTAATCAAGAAGGATATATGTTACCTCTGTTAGTTTGAGTCGGTGTTGTCGCTCTGATACGTATCACTTTGGGGAATGAACACATGTTTTATTTATTGTTGGTTTCTATATGTTGCTGAATTTTTAAGTTGTTTACATTAAAGACTTGTTGTCTTAAAGTCGTTTTGAGTTGGATAATATATTGTGATGTTTTCAGTTGAATTTGTGAATCCAATGCGTGGCAATGAAAGTTGTTTTATTTTTAAAGACTAAACAGGTTGTCATCGGTTCATGACTCTTAAATGTGTTGACTTTCTTTTGACGAGGGACTCTTGTCTCCTGTACAAGAGTCCCCATGCTAATCAACATGCACCCCATTCCTTCTTGCCACATGATCTCATCTAATGGTCTATGTTGCATTTCTATTGAATTGAATTAGGGTCATCTGATTTTAATTAGATGGCCACTTTCCCCCTAGCCCAGTTAACACCCTTGACTCTCTTATCGGGCTTCTCTTTGCTATTGAGCCTATTATATTTCTATTTGCAGATCATATTTCAAAACAGACCTACATTCATCTTATTTGTCTATTTTTTATTTATTAAAATCATTTTTATTTTAGTTGAAAAATATTAATTGATTAAATATTATTTTAGTTAATTAATTTTGTTAATTAAATTTAATTAACTCGATTGTAAGATTGAGTTAATTTTTAATTGATTATTTTTTATAATAAATTCTAATTAGCCTAATTAATTGATTTAATCAATTTTAATTGATTAATTTTGCTAAGTAAGTGTCATTCCTCTTGATTAACTCAATTGATTTAGTTAAGTAATTTGACCACCTAAAGTCAACTTCCTTCAAAATGAAAATGCTTGATCCAACGCCAATCTATCTTCCAATCAAATTTAATCGAACACATAGCAAATGCTTGATCCAACATTAAGTACCTTTTGTGTTCATTTGAATCTTTTCATAATCCATTAAACACTTGATCCAACGTCAAGTTGTTTTACGAAAAATCTTTTTCACAATAAAATTGAAAGACAAAGGACAATTGGATGCACATCCTTTTGAAACCTTAATATTTGGACGCAAGGTGCACACTTTTTTCAAAACGACTATTAGTCTTTTTTTATACCTAAAATACCTTAATTAAACTTGGAATAAAGGGACAATTGAATGCACACCCATTTGAAACCCGAGTAAACGAGCACAAGGTGCACACCTTGTTCAAATGGTTACTCATATTCCACAAAGATAATTTTCATGAATAACATGGATTAAAAAGGACAATTGGGTGTACACCCCTTTGAAACCCTGAAAAATCAGACCCTTTGAGCACGCCTTGGTCCAACCGAGTGTTCATCTTCCACACAAATAAACTTTCAACTCATTCAAATCTTTTGCCTTTTTGCTTTTAAAATTTCAAAACCTTTTCAAAAACGAAAGACACTCTGTCCATTATGTGATGATGCAAGCAACGCTTCCACATGAGAATATCAATATTTTCCAGTGTGATAAGGACATAAATCTGTGATGATCCAGATTATGTCGTCCATTCTTTAAGCGATGTAAATGTTCAATTATCCATGTTTTGGGCAACAATATTTTTCGTTTGAATGCAACCTGAGAATCTTTCACTAAAATCGACCAACACACAAAAATTTACTACCCATAACTATGTAGCCTTGAGTTCTTCATAACAATAAGAAATATGTAGGAGCAGAATTTTGAAATCTTATCAGACACCCTAATAAAAACTTACTATTTAGTCCCCATTTTCTTTTAATAAACCTTTTAGTAACTAGAAGAAAACGAATAACATAAGCTAACACTCTTTCGCAAAACTAACTAAATTAATCTTATTGAGTACAATGGATGTGAGGGGTGTTAATACCTTCCCCTTGTATAAATGACTCCCGAACCCTATTCTGGTTGCGACGACCATTCTCTTTTATTTTGCGGGTTTTATCTATATTTCTTTTAATTTTGGAAATTTGAGAGAATATTCTTAGTTGAAGTATCTCTTAGGGGAATATACATAGTTGGAGTAATGATTAGCTTGTTAGACCATTTTATTTAAAATGAGTTTTTTTTCTGCCTTGCAAGGGTTCGAACTCGTGACCTCTAATAAAGTAGAATTATAGTATTTGATCTTTTGAAAAATGAAAATGAGATTTTGAAGATAACGCATTGGACTATGAGATGATGTGACACAAATGGAGTAGACGTGACTAACATATAAAGAACGTACTTTGAAGGGTCTATATTAATATATACATAAAATAAATAATATAAATAACAGATTGTATTTTAGTATTATTGATTAGAACATTAACATTTTTAATATTACTTACAAGTTTTTTTTAAATTTCTTTTGATGTTATTGATGTCACTTACAAGATTTCATGTTTTTTATCATTTAGTGAAACAACGACTTTTTATTAAAGACTCATTTTGTAAGATCAAATGAATAAGTGAGTTGTCGCGAGTTCGAATTCGCGAACTTGTATGAATGATAATGGATTGAGTACTATAGTCTCATCCCCATAGTCGCGATTTAAAAAATCTCCGTATCCGAGCTCATACTTCTATGGGTATCTAAGTTCCCATACTCGCACCCGTTACCTGCAGTTTTAATAAAAACAAATCGATAAATTAAAAAATATCATGTCAATTTATGTTTTTAACAACATGAATAAATAATTTAAATTTTTAATTGTTAAGTTATGAAACAATCGAAGTCTTATATTAAAATGTGTAATAATTTGTTCGTGATGTATTTTTGAAAGTGAAGATATAAAATTTTATATAATAATATAAATAAAAATATATAAATATATATTGGGCATGAATGAGGCAAAGTGAGAACTAAGTTACTTGTATCCTCTTATTTTAGTTGGTAATTACCCGTTCCCGTGTCCATAACTATTTTTGCATGTTTTTACCTTACTCGTTGTAGGTATTTTTGTGGATACTCGTTGAATATGAGTGCAATTGTGATACCTACACCCTTGTTTTTGATTTTCCTACATAACTATCAACTAAGTTAGGTTAACGAGACATTTTTTAAATTATTTAACATAACACTCATTGACAACATAAAAATAAATAAATAAAAAATAATTTAATTGATATAAACTGACAATATAAAACTATTTTACACGATCAATTAATCATAAACATTGGATGTATAAAGATGTTTGTCTTTGATTTTATTCTATTGTAAAGTAATACAAATGAATGATTGTGATTAAACAAATAGTATGAAATGACATTTGTGGGGGTGTATGAAATGAGGAATAAAATTAGTATCAAATAGTGTCATGTTGGGCCTTTTCTCTTTCGTTTTGGACTAATCATTTTTAAGGGAAAAAACATCACATTTCGCCTCTAGTGCAGTGTCTGCAAATTAGGGTTTCCAAATCTCCGATCATTATCGGCGCCGGCGCAAGTTCCTATTACAATCTTCACCATGGCCACTCAAATGAGTAAGAAGAGAAAGGTTAGTCACACGGTTCTCGTTTTGATCCTATTACCCTATCTTTTGTTTTTGTTGAAAGTTGTGAATTTTTGTCTTGTAGTTTGTTGCCGATGGAGTTTTCTTTGCTGAATTGAACGAGGTTTTGACCCGTGAGCTTGCTGAAGATGGTTACTCTGGTGTTGAGGTTAGGGTTACCCCAATGCGCACTGAGATCATTATCAGAGCTACTCGCACCCAAGCTGTTCTAGGTCTGTTATTGCCTCAGTTTTTCTAAATTTCAATTACTTTGATGGAGTTTGATTTGATATGGATTTTTTTGGCTTTATTGTTTGAATGGATTCTTCAATTATCAAGAGTTTTGGTTTAATCTCTATAACAAATTTTTGAATCCTTGCAAATTTATTCCTAGTATAATAGAGATATAGGTGTATGTAATTGGTTGGATATTCGATTTTAGTTCTTCAAAGTGATATAGGGACCTAAAGTAAAAAAATGATATTTTTGTAGTGGCTAAAAGCATGTTTTAACCTGTTAAAATAATTTATTTTGGGGTTTTTGTGTGTTATTTAGGTGAGAAAGGGAGGAGGATTAGAGAACTGACCTCAGTTGTTCAGAAGAGGTTCAAGTTTCCTGAGAACAGTGTTGAACTTTATGCTGAAAAGGTGAACAATAGAGGACTTTGTGCTATTGCTCAGGCTGAATCTCTACGTTACAAGCTCCTTGGTGGTCTTGCTGTGCGCAGGTATATTTATACTATCGTAGGAAAATGAATCTCATAATAATGGTATATATAGTTGCACATCAAGAATTTGAATTTTTTTATCCTATTTATATTGATATTGATGCTTAACCATGAGGAATTTTGTTAAAGATCATTCTATGAATGAATGCCTTCTATGTTGTTGTTAGTTAACAGATTCATCACTTGCTATTTTTTGTCTCTTACTGTGCATCAGTATGCCACTTATGCTTCATAACAAAAGTTTGTTCCTTCTGATTTCTATGAATTTCTTTTTGTATCATTTGTTATTTTGTTAATGTTTTTATGTTGATTTGGAAGCTGGAAGAGTGTGTGATTTTATTTAGTTCATTAATTAATGTGAACTAGACTAGCTTTAGATCTTGTGTGGTGTCCTAACTTGGTATCTTGTCTGCCCCATCCTTGTTTTGAGAAAGGATAATGCTATGTTTAGCCATCATAACATTTGAATTGCTTGCTGTGTTCTGTGTTTCATGTTAAATGTATGCATTGGGTCTAACATTACATGTCTCTGTTTATTCCCATATTGTTGAGTAATCATAATATACCATGTTGTTAAAAAATTGTATTGTACTGTACCCAGTGTTTCCTGGATCTGTAAAATGTTTTACATGACTAGAGTTTATCTAGGAGCTGCTAATTTTTAAAACCTCTCTGTTTTATTTTTTTTAATACAATATTGTGCTTGCGGTGACTGAACCGTGTCCTGAACTATTTGTTGTAGGGCTTGCTATGGTGTTTTGAGATTTGTTATGGAAAGTGGTGCCAAGGGATGCGAGGTTTGTTCTGAAAAAGTGGCTTTGAACTCATTTACTACATTGGTTTTTGTACTAACTTGCTTGTAATTGTCATTTGATTTTATTAGGTCATTGTCAGTGGAAAGTTGAGAGCCCAAAGAGCCAAGTCCATGAAATTCAAGGATGGATACATGATTTCTTCTGGGCAACCAGTCAAAGATTACATCGACTCTGCAGTTAGACATGTCCTCCTCAGACAGGTTTGCTTATGCTCTTACCTCAGAATTATTTCGCCCCCAAAGTTTTCAAATTGTTCATTCATTTTGTTTGTTATGTAGCTAACATTTCATTTCTTGTTTTCTTGTAGGGTGTTCTTGGTATCAAAGTAAAGATTATGCTTGATTGGGATCCTAAAGGGAAACAAGGTCCTAAAACCCCCCTCCCTGATATTGTCACCATCCACACTCCAAAGGAGGAGGAATACAACCCACCTCAGGAATACAGCCAGCCTCCTCCTGCTGTTTTAGCCTCTACCGATATTGAGGTGCCTGTTGCTTGAAGATCTTTTGCTTTTTCTGGACCATTTCATGGTGGCTTGTATTTTATTTTCTCATTAAGGAAGTTGCTATACTCTGTTACAAGTGTTTAATCATCATTTTATTTTTATTAATACTGGCTATGGTTCCTGTAATATAGGACTAATATGCTTTTGGTTGCCAGTTTTTAGTTACATTTCACCTACCTTTTAATATTCTTCCACTTGTTCCTTTGTTGGATTGGTCTAAACCAAAACATTTTGTGTCCAAGTAATTGCCAAATTGACTTATTTACTGACCTTACCATTTTGAATTAAAAATTAAAAAACATAGATCTAAATTCGTTGTGTTCATCTTCGTCAAAAGTAATGAGTCTGTTCTCGTTAAGTCATACCAGAATTTAGTGGCAGGAATACATTAGAGAATGGTGTCACAAGCTTTCTAACGGTTTACATTAACTATTAAAGCAAAAGGAACTAATGAGCATAGGAACACATGTAATTTGATTCACATGAAAACTATTGAGAAACCGATTATCTATTCACAAATTGGTGTCCGTTTATTGTATTTGGCCTTTAATTTGATCCAATTTAAAATTTTTTAACTAAGAAACCAATTTTTGTAGCACCTCTACTTTTTTATGGTGCTTGTATAAGTGGAGAATCATGACAAATATTGAGAAAAGATTCTAATGACGTAACAGCACAATGTGTCTGATCTTGCATCAGGCCAATGAGACTGAGAATGGCAACCATCTCAATTCTCAAGAAGAATATCATTCATATTTAACCAAGAGTACTTTTAAACAGAACTGAATCACGCTCAATAACGACGAGCTTTTAAATCAAACTTTTCTTTGTTTGGTGTTTGGGGTTATAAATTATAATAGAAAAATGGCTATTGCAATGCTCTTTTTGTTTAAATACGAAGAATGTTGTATGGAATAATGATAAATAGGAATGACAGTTTGAAATCTTTTCTTTAAGAAATATGTCTTAATATCCTTCTTTAAGAAATATGTCTTAATATCCTGAATAATGAAGAGAAAGAAAACACACTTCTAAATTGTAAGAAATTAAAAAGTCGAAAAGTAAAGAGAATGTTAACAGAGGATGATAGAGCAGTGGGACAATCTAGTGGTTGGACGATCGGCGACACAACGGAGCTAAAGAGTCTGACAACAGAGGTCTGATCATCCGTGATTGAGCTTTGACAATTAAGGATGGTAAGCAAGTATGCTTGCCCCGTAAAGTCCCACAAAAAACGTAACAAAGTGGGGGCATACATACATGGTAAATAGTGTGGACTTAAAACATTGTCCTCTCCTAGAAAAAAATGAAGGTGGCGTGGTCCCTGTTCCCCTAAAGCCTTAAAGTTACTAAAATTCTTGTTAATGTTCGCATCTGCAAAATAATGGAGGCGGAGCGAAATGGAGTTGACATAATAGAGAGTACGGTCTGAAAATCTTGGCTTGTATTGTGTTGAAATGCATGAAAAATAGACATGTCCCCGGGGCCGGCTCGGTTTTGCCATCCTACCGACAATCGACGACGACGTGGGTCACAATTTGATAAGCGCTCCAAATTCATGCAACATTTGTTAATTGAGTTGGTTCATGTATATCAAACTTGGTTGTTTCGTTAATGAATTGTGTTTTGTGCATGTTAAGGATCCATTGAATTTCACCAAATATAAATTTGCATCTTTTATCATTTTTGTCTTCACAGAGCTTAAGACATAGAGAATAATTAGCAACTCTACTGGAAAACTTAGAGAGACAAGGGTTGGAATTTAATGGAGTTTTTGGAATTCAGAAAATCCGTGGATGTATCTAAGAGGATTTAGAAACACTTTTAACACCTTAGACTTGAATGACTCATATATAAAGAGTTGGAGAGATTAAGAAAGACTTTAGTGGAAAATGTGGTTTGTTCTCGGGGACTTATGTAACTAATTTTTTGTTACTATTTTGTTATCTATTGTAATAACTTTTGGAAGTAAAATGAATCAGAGAGTTGCTCTCTCCTCCAGATTAGATCGGTTTGATCAAACTAGATAATCAAGTTTCTTTGTGTTTCCGTCTCTTATCTTTTTTTTTGTTCTTTGTGTATTTTCATTAACTCTTAACATATTAGTGTATTACTGAGGCCATACATTTAATTTCCATTATTCTTTGTCCGGCACGTCAAATTTTTGAGTGTGTTTAAAACTATCAATATTTTCTAGAATTGTTAGAGTTTTCAAAACAAGTGGCGCCCACCATAGAGTAAAGATATTTTTTTACAAGTGAACTCCATGAGTTCTAAATGGTAGATCAAGAAGTTTTCTAAAGACAATAATCTTGGAATGTGGAAAAGAAGAAGCAAGTAATTTTAACTCAAGATAAGTGTATTGAAGCATTAAAGGGTGACACATCAATACCTACACACTTAAATAAGCAGAGAAGAATGAGATGGTGGATAAGGTCAAGAGTACCATTATCTTGTCTCTTGGGGATAAAGTTGTAAGGTAAGCATCAATCAAAAGATTGCAGATTCGATATTGGCAAAAATTCATAGTATATGACCAAGTCATTGTCTCATAGGTTGTGTATGAAATAATAAATCTACTTATTCTGAATGGTAATATACATATCCTTAATGGAGCAGTTAACCGAATTTTACAAGATCAATAATGATCTAGAGAATATTGAGGTGGATATTGCTAATGAGGACAAGAACCTACTCTTGTTTAACTCATTACCTAGATCTTTTGAGCACTTCAAATATGTCATTCTTTATAGTCAGTAATGTACCATTACTTTGGATGAACTTTAGACGATTGTGAGATCCAAGTAATTTTCAAAGGTAAAATATTTACAGATTGATGATAGTGGTGAAGGTTTGAGTGTCTTAAGATAAGGTAGTGAATGTAAAGGGATATCTAAATCAAAGAGGTTTAATGAGTCATGGTTAAAATGATTTACTTGTCATAAAACTGGTCATTTCACGAGAGATTGTCCCGAGAGGTGGGTTAATGTCGATTCTGTTCAAATTGTTGTTGCCTTAGATGAGGATAATTAGGAGAGTGTTTATGCATTAGTGGTGTTGAGTTTGAAGACTGAAGAGGGTTGGGTCATGGACTCCGTTTTGTCTTATTATATATGTCCAATAAAATATTAATTTGAAACTTGAAGCTAGAGGAAGGTGGAGTAGTTTTCCTTGGAAATATTAAGGTTTTCAAGGTTCATGGTATTTCTACCACCATGCTTAAAATATTCGATGACCGTGAGATTCTTCTTTACAACGTGAGATATGTTCCAAAGCTTAAAAAAAATTTGTTATCTATAAGAATGTTTGATGATCTATGCTATTGAACTACATTTAAATATGGGGTGTTGAAGATTTTTAATGATGAAATGATCATAACTAAATGGTATAAATTGTGTGTCTTATATACTTTATAAGGTTCTAATTTTGTTGATCAATCATCATTAGATAGTGAAGAATTTTATGATAAGAACGAGCTGTGATATTTGAGGTCAATGCATGGTAAATGTTTGAAAGTTGTTTCCATGCATTTTAATGAGTATTATAGAAGACAAAGGATGAAAACACATTAAACTATTGATTTGTCATTGAGCTTTTAGGGTAAAGTTGGTGCCAAGATAACTTACATGATAGAAAGGTGTTCATTTACAAGAATAAATTTCCAAACACTTATGGAAGTTTGTTGTAGGAAAAGTGTAACCTATTAAATTTTGAAGCTCGTTAAAGCTTTTCCTATTGCGTAAATTGATCTTATCCAACTTGATGGTAATGCTGTGAATTATGTCTTTAATTTTTATCTAGAAGGTGAGAAGTGTTATGAGTCGCGTGAAGTGGAACCTAAAGGATCAAATTCATCATTCACATATGTATTACTTTTAGCGAGTTCCGTCAAGGGAGGAAAAATAAAGATCTGGAGATAAATGTTTTAGAAAATATGGCAGAGAATACTCGATTTGAGGTAGAGATTCCTGCCATGGATGCTAGCAGTAGTGATGGAACGATTGTAGAGGTCTATGACTATCATTTGACATGTGATAAGCTTAAAGGAAGAGTGTACCATCTCAAAGGTACGATTATTGTGGCCTTATGTGTTATGTTGGTCTTGGAAGTTATGCTTTAAATGTTACTGCATAATAGCAAATCTAAAAAACAATGACTTTCATTAAAGCTTTCGTAAATACGTGGAGTCAAATATGATTGAAGAACCATGCTTGTGAACTTGTTAGATTACTAAGCATGACAAGATTGTTGGAAGATTGTGGATGCAAGTTGCAATATCAAGGTTCAAGCGTGACTTGAACTTGGTAAAAGAGGTTGAATGGTAATTCAAATCAGATAGAGCAATAAGGTGGTTAATGGATAAATTGACATCCCCATGATTTTAAGTCAAAATGGAGAATTATAGAAATATTTCTTATAACCTTGAGTGATGAAGAGAAAGAAAACATGTTTCAAGATTTATAGAAATCAAAAAGCTAAAAACCAACAAGAATATTGGCAGAAGATGCTAGATTCGTATATGAGACAGTCAGTCATGTTATGGGCAATGACAGCGCCGAGAGCATCAATGGTGGCAGTCTAGCGACTGGCTAGAAGTTGGGTGATAACATAGGCCGATAGGATTGTGCAATGTAGTGAAGTCAGGGACTTAGGCGGCAGAGGCCCGACCGTCTACGACAGAGGTCACACGGGTGGCGTGGATCCTATTCGACGACCATTCGGTTTTACCCGACATCATTTTGGTTCAGTCTGTTTGCGTGTATAGTACTTGATTGTCTGATTCACAGATCTGTTTATTAATGAGTTATGTTTTGGACATTTAAGGCTTCATTGGTTTAAGTAGTTACAAATATTTATCTCTACCGTTCTTGTGTTTTTCGACTTTCACAACTTTGGAGATTAAGACAGAGAGAAGTGTTAGGAATTCTGTTGGAAAACTTAGAGAGACAAGAGTAGAAACTTCTTGGAGTTTGAGAAATCTTTGGAGGTATCTA